TGGCGGGGCAAGCAACCAGTTGAAAGAGGTGCTGGTAACGGGGGGCGCGCGAAGGCCGTGCATTTCCTCAATGCTCAATGCATGATTTAAGCTCCGCAATGGCGTGCCAGCCGAGTCGAGCCCGGCCGCTGTGGCTCGGAGCTGTCAGTTTGTCTTTTTGGAGCTTCCGATTGAATAATCGGAGCCACGTATCTAGACGAGAGCGAGATCCATGGCAAGCGGCATCAAAGCCAACAGAGTCGTGTGCTATGCTTTACCTATGTGGTCGAGGTACGGCGTGGCGTGGACAAGGGTCCAAGGGTCTTCAACATCATCTGTATTGTATGATCTTTTGGTCCAGACCAGCCTTGGCTCGGCTTCGACTTCGGATCTGCACGGCGTGCATGGTGGTAAGGTCCCACCCTCGAGGTAAACATTGGTCGGAGCGTCCAGATTCGCATTCTAAATGAGATTGGATGGGGAGGGAGAAAGAAGGTCGCATGGAGCAGAGGCATTTTCATGAACCCTGCAACTCGAGACCCACTGGTACGGAGTCGGGATCGGGTTGCTGGCTGCGCTCGCTTCGACGGCAGCCTGAAACGAGGAACGCGGCCAAGTTCCGATGCATCACTTGGCGGATGCGTCAAGAGCCGCTCGAGTGAAAATGAATTTGAGGCGTGTGGCTTGGATTTTCCACCCAATGACCCACCCGAGCATGGATTTGGAGCCCGAAAACGGGCCGAAGCGCCAGATCACAAGCGCCCGACTCTTCCTGCATACCGATTTCCAGCCTGGCCTGCCGCCTGCTGCCACCCGCTGCCTTCTGACCTACTCGATAATCCAGGCAGGTCGATGCGATGCGCCTTCCGGAAATTCTGGTTCGTCGGAGCGCCCGATCAGGCATGCAGCAGCAGCGCATCTGACCAGGCACTCACTTCTCTGTGCGCTTGGATGCAGGCGGCCTGCTTCGTGGGCTGCGCGCTGCAAGGGCACGAGCACACCCACCCCGGACCTTCTTTTTTTAAAATAACTCGAGAGTACAGCGCTGGTGCGTGTCCAGATTCCGGTCGCTCGGCTAAGCACGCGCACCCTCGGCCGCCTCTGCTGTAGGCCGCTCTGCCAGACAAGAGTTGCGGCGGTGGAGGCACGAGGAAGTTGTCTCCGTCGGGGCGGATTCCTCGGTGTCGCTGTCGCTGGCTGTGGCTGTTGGCAGCAGACCCGACGCTTCCATCTTCCCATTCGTCCGTCTCTCGTCTCGTCTTCATTTCATTTCCTTTCCTACGACTCTCGACATCGAGTCTGCACGTTCCCACCACCCTTCGCTGCCGTCCCCACACCATTGCACCATTCATTCCGGCCCGGACATCCACATCCATCAAGCTTGCCAACGCGGCACACTGATCCCGACTCCCCGCCCACTCTTGGAGCGCTTCATCGACACCACCCTGCACACCTCCACCAAGCGTCTCCGAGCTCATTCGACATCATTGTGACTCAGCACGTTCTCCTTCCGCTGGCGTCCAACGTCTCATCCGCCACCTCGGCATCCTTCACTATAATTTGCCACGTCGCTTTGCGCCTGCTCTGGAGCATGCTTCCTCTGGCTTAGCACTTGTCTTACTCTATCCTGCTCGTGCTGCCAAAGCGGATCCTCGACTTCTACCTATCTGCAGCGATCGGCTTGGTCGCACACGCGTCCCTCCGTCGCTGGAGGATTTCGCGCTTTGCCCACCCGGGCCTTGCGTCTTTTCTGCTCTGCGGGTGAACGCTGTGCCGTACTACAGCGTCTGAGCTGCGCGCCACTGTGCATCATACGACCTGATTCTTGCTCGTTCCCCCTCAACGTCCGCAATCCCGGTCTTCTCGACAACATGGACGTGATCAGATCCTTCGACGACAAGATCAAGGCGGCAAGGTCGGGCTCGCGCCTCCAGAACCGTGCCTGCGACCAGTGCAGACGCTCCAAAAGGCGGTGCGACCTCGCTGAAGCTGGTCCTGATGGCTTGCCAGTCCAACATGCCGGGCCATGCAAGCTCTGTGTTCGCAAGAACCTTCAGTGTACCACTCACTGGAGCGCACTGCAGCAGACCGTCAGCTCCAGCCGCCAGGAACTTCGCCACATCTCACAGACCTCCGCCAGCTACACTGCCCTCCAAGATCAGCTCTCGTCACACAATTACGTCTCACTCGGCCTTTCCACCACGTCCAAGAGCCTCAGCGACAACATCGACGGCCTCTACATCTCGACCAAGCAGCTCTTCACCTACGTCGCCGCATGGGAATGGGTGTGGAACCATTTCCTCGGGCCCGGCGCAACACCCAACGGCGTCAGCCTCGACGCAGCCATTCATCCTCGACGCGGACTCCTGAGTGCTTCCGCTGCACGCGCCTGGGACGACATGATGGTGGTCAACAACGTATCCCACATCTCTCCCAGCTTCTTTTACAGCACCTTTGTTTGCGACGAGGCCTTCCGTCCGAGCGGTCGCTTCAACCTCCCCAAAAAGGCAGACGAGATCTCCATGCAGGCACTGCAGTATGCCATCGTCGCCTACGCGAGCCAGTATGGCTCCCAAATGCCCGGCGAATGGCGCGACGACGAGACCGAAGCCGTGCGCCGCCAGAAAGATACCCAGATCGCAGAAGCTGCCTGGCGACGCGCACGCGACTTCCTCATGGCCAACTCCTCCGTCACCACCTTCCGCATGGCGTATGCCCTTCATCTTTTCAGCAACACATGTCCACCCTTGCGCAGCAGCAACTCGAATCTGGACGTTGTGCAGGACGCCGTTTTCACTCTACAGACCGGCCTCCGCATGATGGACAATCTCGCCACTGATCTCTTGCGACAGCAAGACGAGGAGCTCTTCGCCATCGGCTATCACAACACCGACGGTGCCAGGATCGAGGACAACGTCTACCTCCGATCAGATCCGACCTACCGCATGCGTGTCGAACGTGCTCGTGCGCTCAAGGACGTGGCCGAAAATCTGCTCTGGTATTCGGCCATCTGCGACGCGGCAACCACGAGCGGCTTCGGCATGCCTCCCACCACACGCAGCAGCAGTTTCGACAAGGTCGACCTTGAGGCCTTGCAGCTCTCGGCCGTCATGCCAGCTCCCAATCTGAGCGCCACACATCCGACTGGATTCGAAGCTGCCAGCCTCCCGCCCGAGTCGGCCCCGATGGGACCCGTGCCGGGTGTATCGGCGCGTTTCGGCAACGGAATTTATGGACTGCCACCACACGTGCCTGCGGGCTCGGACAGCCTTGGCTTTGCCGAGTCGTCGACGCTGAGACTCGAGCCGAGCTTCCTGTTGCACCCTCAGTTGGATTCCGAGTTCGCATCCATGGATCGACAATGGCCAGATCAGACCATCCCGCATGCATCTTCGTTACCAGACTCTCTCTTGCCGACTCATGCGGGGCACAGCCTGGCGCATGCGCCGACGACGCCGACTGACGCGGCCTCAGACGTTCCTCAGACGTGGATGCGCGTGGCAGAACGAGCATGGAAAATCTCCAAGCAGGTGCCCAACATCATGGCCGGATTTGCGGCAGCGCCCAATGATTCGATGCGAGTCAAGGAGTTTCTCAATTTGACGCAGATCGGATCGGCTACACAGATCATGCTCTGGCAGCGCAACGGCAACTTTCGCGCTAAGCTCGACGATCCGGGTTCCACGGCTAGCCAGTTGGCCGAAGCTTTCCAGCGCACATGGAGCATGGCGTTGTTCATGCAACAGGTGTTCCATCCCGTACTCGACGTCGATGCGAATCACTACGTCCGAATGCCCGCGTCGGCACAGTCGATGTCATCGCATTTTATCAACCAGACCAGCATGGGCACGCTCTTCTTTCTCGAACTCTGCAGCTTTCTCGAAGGACTGCCATGGCTGCAAAGCCCCAAGGATCCGTCGTGGCCGCGAGCTTCGAGCATGCTGCGCACGCAGCTGGACAAGTCGCGCGATCTTCGTCACCAGCTCCGCCGCAGGAATGCCCTTCGCATCGCCAGGCAGCATCACATGGTCGCTGCCCAGGTGGAGCGCACGCTGAAGTATGGAGGGTCCCCACCACGCGACGGCCAGGACTCGGACCACCCTTCGCCGGGCAATTCTGGGTATTCGAGCCACCGAGGAAGCGACGCGGGCGCCAGCTCTCCGTTTGCAGAGATCTCGCTGCCGCAGGACGACATGATCGTGCCTGCCTTGCAGATTCACAGTAGCCGTCATCCGGTGCCGACGCATCTGGCATGTGCTCTGCACATCTCCTTCTGTGCTCTTGTCCCCGACGCTCTCCAAGAGATCAGCCAGCACGGATCTGCGTCGCCTGTCACGCTGGACGCGCTCGATTCCAACCTGGCCGCCTTGCAGGGCATCCTCGACAGCGTGCTCAGCTTCGGACCCAACTTCCACCGCGAGCCGAGCCTCGAGACCCTCTTTTCGACACGCAACTGGCTAGCACCAGATCGCACGCCCATAGCGCTCGTTCTACGCTGATCATGTGAAATGTTGGTCTCGGCGCACGTCGTGTTCGTTGAGCTGTGCGTGCTTCGCAGACACCGCAGTATTGCAGCTTTAATCACATTTTGCCATCACAGTCACGCCGTCACCAGTTTGTGCCAAATCTGCGGCGGTCATTTCGTTTGCAGAGGTGTGATTGAGCGCGTTGCAGCTTCGGTGTGGCCTGTAGAGTTCGAACGGCGCTAGTTCAGTGACCGGTGGATCATACAGGGAGATCAGCAGAGCATGTGCGGGCGGCCCGAGGTTACAAGGTCGCTCTGCTGTCCGGAGCAAATGGCAGACGACCTCGGCTTCTCCGACGAGCAACTTTTTGGCCTGGGTGACTGCAGAGGGACGACCTTACGCCTGCGGAAAGGTGCGGCCGTCCCGACTACGCCTGGGCGCCCGTGCCCCACTCCGGAGCTCAGCAGCAAAGGCATCAAGGCGTAGTTGTCCGCCTTGTCGTCGCGATCTCTTGCGAGCTGGTCGTGGCCAGAAGATCGAAGGTCACTGTTCAGCAGAAGTCTGCTTGCAAGGCTGTACTCGCCATCGACACTCGGAGTCTTAGTCTGGAGCTCCACGGGCACGCAAATGGTCGTGCGACCTCACGCAAGCAAGAGACCTACCAAATTGCTGGCGTAGTCATGCTCCCAGGCGTCAAGGACGCCAATTAGCCAATGTGTTGCAAGCACAGGAAAGGTCAGGCACCCTACGATTCCGCGAGGTGCGTTCGATCATCAAACGCATCGCTGAGAGGTGTGGGCCAACGCAAGGCTCGAGGCCCACAGGGTCACCTTCAGTCGTCCAGAGCAGCTCGAAGCTATAAGAAGACCCCCCTGGAGAGGCTGTCTCGTCCATCCACAATCTCAAGCCAGCAAATCTCCTCAACGCTGCAATCTCAAAGCTCGGCCCAGCCTTCGAATCCGATACTGCATCGCAGCGATCTCCTGCCCCAACCAAAGACACACAGATCAACAGCACATCCTCTCCTCATCGCAAGCCAAGATGAAGTGGCACTCTCTCCTCTCGATCACTGTCCTTGCCCTTGGCATCGGCGCTCATGCTGCCCCAGCCAAGGGGGCGCAGGATCTGAGCAACGCCCTGCAGGTCCGAAACCTCGAACATCGATCTCGCATGGACCTTGTCGCTCGTGATGAAGATCACGGCGAGAAAGCTGACTGCGAAGATGGCAAGGATGGCGACAAGAAAGGAGATGACAAGAAAGGAGGTGACAAAAAAGGCGGCAACGGCAAAGACGACGGCAAGAAGGGTGGCGATCAGAAAGGTCACGACAGGAAGGGCGGCGTCAACAAAGGCGGATATAAGAAGGGCAAGGGCGATGAGGGTGGATACGGTGGCGACAACAAGGGCAAGGGCAATGAGGGTGGACACGGTGGCGATGAGAAGGGCCACAGCAAAAAGGGCGGCGACAACGAGGGCAAGGGTAAAGAGGGTGGAAACGGTGGCAATCAGGAGGGAGGGGACAACAAGGGCAAGGGCGATGGCAAAGATGGTGGAAAAGGTGGCGATCAGAAGGG